TGTTTGCAATGTTGAACTGCCTTTAGCAGCCTCGCTTCGCTCTTTCTCTGTCTCTGTCTTCTTTTTTGCGAAGGCATTATTATTATTTTTTTGCCTACACAGTGGGCCAACAACAGTGAATTTTGTGTTATTTATATTAGATCTGATCGGGTACAATAATTTGATTAGATATTCTAATTCTAAGACTGTGGATATTTTGTTGTTATCACTTTTAAAAGACTGAGAGCAAATCATTACCGACAGAAATACAGAAACAAACCACCAAATTACTAATTCAGCGAATCATCCACTGACTATTATGTGGATTGTAATGCATCTACCTGTTAATGCAACGACATTGGGAACTCCACTCCAGAGAGCAGCACACAGATCGTGAGAAATGCTGCGGAGCGGGCGGGAAAACACGGAGCGGATTACCGGAATTAGCGGATCTTTAGGGGAGCGGGAACAGCAACACCTAGTTTCTGAGAACAGTGTTGTCAAACATAATTACTTACTTTTATTAGATTATGTATTTGGATATATACAGCATTTAGACTATTAAAGACTACTTTTTGTAAAAGTTGACATTTAAAGTTTGATTTGAAGTGTCAGTTTTTGCATTATTATTGTGGTCCAATATGGACACAGGGAACGCATTTTTGTTACTCATACTAGCTACATATAATAACTTGATCAGTCACACGAAAGTAATCAGTATATATATTATATATACTCGGGTCGACCAGGGTGATATTCCAAAATATATGTCTGAGTGTTTATGTACCATATGAACAGAGATGAGGTCTGGTCGAGTCGTTTGAAAAACTCCGCTGTCAATCGCTGTCAGTGATTGACAGATTCAGATTCCAATCACGTTCAGTGGGGTGTGGGGGTGCTGGGGGTTTCATGAGGGGCACCTCAGCCAATGAGGGCAAAGGGGCAGTGGCTCTAGCCACCGGACCACCCCCCTGTGCACGGCCCTGCCTCTCGGCACCAGTTAAAGTCATAGATATTGAACTGTGTTCCATTCTGTGGACATGGCTTTTGGTCCTTTAGATCTGTCCCCTGTGGCAACAATGTTCACAAGACTAGCAGAAGTGTTTACTGGATGGCCTATTGGGGGAGGCAGTGTCAGGGTTCACCCCTAGTTACTCCCACTCTTCTGAGGGGTCCGAGGCTCTGCGGTGTGGGTGGGTGCTCTCTTTGAGAGACCTCAGCCTCCACACACCCTTCATTCTCCACTTTAGTGGGAGGGAGCTTCCATTCGCTAGCATGCGAGAGAAAATACGAGAGAGTGCTTGTGTTATGATGTTCTCTTCATTGTAAATTCTAAGCTATTGCGAAAAATCTAATTTTACTATTGCAGTTTTTGCTGTGCTACACATGACATGATGATGAAAGTGACAGAAACACTAATCTAAGTTATGCTCTGTTTTTCACCCTAGTTTGCGAGAGGGGAACTCCAGAAATCATGCTCCCGGACCACAGTGGCACCGCTGGAAGGGAGCTGCCAGTTGCCATGCCAGTGTAGGCCCTACCCACCGTTACCCCCTCCCCCCCCTCCTCCACCACCCCCGAG